CCCCCCCAATAATCAGACCCAACCAATATAAGCCCCCCAATAAAATTATGAATTATCTTGCATAAATAGGCTGTTGATTTTCTTTACTTATTTCAGGTATTACCAGCAAGATAGTTGCATGTTTAATCGTCTCGGAATTTGTGTTTGTGCTGTTGGTGAATTATCTGATAATAATATTAAGGCTTACTTTGTGGTTCATTGTACTAATATACTGTACACTCTGAAGTGGTTTTCTTCTTTGTTAACCAATGTGCAGGTATGTGTAGCAGTGTAATGCAGCCTCAAAACCAGGCTTGATAAAGATACCTGACAAATAGAGGTGGGTTTAGAAATTGATTTCCCCGATTCAAATTGATTTTAGCGTGAGTAAAGCAATATCGCTTCATGAAATCCTGGATCGATTTTTAAATATGAATGTATTTTGCCAGAAACACCAGAATCTCAGCTTAAAGCCCACAAAACAATTTCAGCGACCACCAAACAGCTAAAACAGCAAACGAGAGCAGAAACGGATTCTGCAAAAAGACGTAAACACAAAGCGCGGATCGTTCAACCGACGTCACGTACACGGACGGTGCTGATGCTGCAGGTTTTGTCGCTGAACCAGCAGCAAAAGATCAAAACTACGCTTCACGTTTGATAAACATCGTCACTAATTCCCTCTTACTTTTGCTGTTTTGCTTCCACTACGATAAAATCCCACTTCCTGCACAGCTTTCTCTCCCTCAGTGTACTTCAAGAACCGTTTCCCATCTCAAATCTTGGTTTTCTGCATTATTCGCTTCCTTATTATGCACCAGTCTACTGTTGTGTTCAGCGCTGTTGCACATTACTTTTTGTTTTATCTTAAAAATAACCTCCGACAAGAAAGGCTAATTTCTGATGTTCATACCAGAGAAACTTAAACTTTTACAAAATATGCCAAATTGCAAAACGCTTAGCTGTGTCTCTAATAAAACCTCTGTAACTTTGCTCAGCCTACATCAGGTAATTTTCATATCTTGATTCACGGTTTTCTTCATCTTTTAATTTTCTACAGAATATTTTTAAGGCGGTTATCTGCCATAAAAAGCCAGGCCAGGAAAATCTGCATCATGTTTTTCTGTATTTTATCCTCCGTTACTTTGACACGATGCTTACATCTCTGATGAAGTCTCACAAGTATCAGCTTTCTTTTTATACATAGATATAAAAATATGGATATGTACTGATAAATGATCAGAATTATAATATGAATTATAATTATAATATTACAGAATAATACAGAATTATAATATTATAATATGTATGAGTCAAAATTGAATCAAATTGGGACCTTGTGAATGAGATTTGAATCAGTTGTAGAAATCAGTGACGATACCCACCCCTACTGACAAATATCATCATTTCTGCCTAGAAAAAGCAAGATGGAAAAACCCAAAATGCTAAAATAAAAAATGTCAAACAGTGAAACAGAAAACATTGGCTACCATCATTTATATACAGGCTTTGTGGCTGTAAATAGATTCTAATTTCTGCTTTTGCCAGGACATCAAGTGGTTGCTTGTTCTCACCCACAGAGGCCTGAGCCTGATGAATGGAGCTTTATTACGTGGACCTCAGGGCTAGCTCCGCCTACATTCAAGTGGGCACAACCGTGCACTTCCTGTGGCTGCAAGTCAGAGGTCATGTAGTTGCGAGAGATGAACATGGACTGCAGCTGACACACAGCAGGCAGGTTTGGATCTGTAATATGGAGACAAAGTAAGAGAAAGTTTAGAAATGGAAGCTGACCTAATACAAAAGTCCGGTAGAAGCAAGAGGGGAAATGACTCATCTGACTCATAAGCCATCAGATGTTTGGATTCATCATTTGTTTATTTTACCGTAAACTATTTTTCATTTGTGGATATTTTTGTGTATAAAAACCGCAAAGCTTAAATACAAAATCACCACTAAATTCGATTTTTGAGCACAGGAATGTGGATTTGGTGGCTCACCCTCTCCCAGTTGAAGGTAGACTCGATTGCCATGTGATGAGTGTGTCAGAGAGGACAGGTTGCCATGATGCTTCAGAACCCAGCGATGCAGCGCACGGGGACGAAAAGGCAATGAATGCACCGTCTGGACGTGCAAACGCAGGGCGCTGGACTGTACGCTGGCGTTTGAGGACACCTAGCAGTTGAAGGCAAATATATAATGAATGAAACTGCAGAGTGCACTCAATCAAAACTGCTCTTCTGCACAATGACTGACCTGCACCAGGACCTGGAGGTTGGAGGGCAGTCTCTCGGCCTCCAACCACCAGGTAACTGGGACTTTGGAGATGAGCACTAGGTGGACAACCCTCATAGGAGAAGGAGACAGAGACAGAGGCTTCATCAGCACTGTCACCTATAGGGAGGAGAGGAAAAGGCAGTCCGCTGTACGTTCAGCACTTTAAAGGATAAATGTACTTATGAAAGTTAGGGTAGCTCCAAAGCTAACCACATGTAGCAAACTTAACTTAAAATACACCAAACACATTTACAGCACTTGTACAAATAAAAATGTAACAAATAGAATAAAATAAAACTTATTTGTTAGTCTTGTATTTGTGTGCCTGTGTAAGCAGCTAGAGCAATTAAATACATTTCAGCATTTTTGGTTGGGAAGCTAACGCTACTTAAAATGTTTGGTAGCACTTTATAATATGACCCACAACTAACAGTGTAATTATATGTACCTACAAAGGCTTCCCAGCAGATACAGTAGAATAAAGGGGTAGAAATTCAAGTTTTCACAAGAAAGAAGAAATAATTCTATTGTAAGAGTCGAGGTTTCCTCACTTTACAGCGTAAGTGTAGCTTGTTTATCCACTAAATTACCCAGAAGTCACACGTCTTACAACTACTTACAGTATAGTTATTTCTTTCCTCTCAGATCATCTCAAGCTGTGTTTTTTTAACATAGCAGTCAGTTGACTACACTCTCGTGGACTCTGCAGTCACAGATCTCGATCCAAAAGATCACCCTTGGGATGTGGTGGAATCAGTGATGCAACTGTGTGACGCTATCGTCTCAATATGGATCAACATCTCTGCAGCCCCCTGTTACAGCTACAGCTATGCCTCAAGGAAGAAAGGTAGTTATAAAGGCAATGGTGGTTCCAACACAGTTGTAGCAAGATGTACCTAATAAAAGGGGGAGGGAGTATACATCTCCAGTGTCACAGTGTACTAAGCCTGTGATCTTTTGCACAAATAATCGTCTGTTCACCATCGTGTTTGACATTTCAGTTACATTTTTATCATAATTAGTCATTCTAGACTTACAGGAGGTTTCATGGAACTTTGACCCTCTTCCTTCCCCCAACAAGTCACAGAGGTTTCTTCCTGTTAAAAGGGAGTTTTTCCTTCCCACTGTCATTAAGTATTTCCTCAAAAGGGGGTCATCTGATTGTTGGTTTTCTCTGTATTTTTGTAGGGTCATTAGCTTCCCATACAAAGAGCCGACTGTAGATGTAATTTCACACAATATAAATAAAACTATCATCATCAATCATCAGTGAGAGTTTGCACCATATTTAAAGAAATTCACTCAAGACTGTTGTGACTTTTATTATAAAGAAATGTCCACAAGATCATGCTGAGATTTACTATTATTTATTTATTTTGATGTTTTCCCATAAAATCTGCCTTTTTATAACAGAATCAGCTCAGTGGTGCTACAGTGAAATTCTGTAGGTAATGTCTTTGTGATATAAAGGGAATTAAATGGATTTAAAAAGCTTATTTGAGATAGTTGAGATGTTTAAAGCTAAACATTATCATCACATTTTAAAGGAAAGCATTTGGCAAAGAAACCTTGTTGTTCATGCGTGTTTCTGCTCTTAGTTTACAATCAATGAGACTGATTGATCAGCAAGTGACTGGAATCACATTTTCCAGCTTTCTTACGGCCTATTTGAGTCAAAACTTTAAAGCTAAAACTCGGACTCAAATAAAAGCCCCCCTGCTCCTGAAGCCGGGGTCCTTGGTTTTTGCTAAGTAATCGTTAGTCGGCTACCTTGTTTTCTGGGCTGTTGGTCACTCTTCTTAATGCAATGACATGAGTCTCCTTGTTTCCGCGTTCTCTAGCAGCACAGCCGGGGCCTGCCTCGAACCTTTCCAGCAGACCCTGAACAGGGTGTCGAGCGCCCACTGGACCAGCCACTGAGCAGTGCAGCTCTCCACTCTGAGCTGGAGAGGAACAGTGCATGCATCACTACAAAATGTGTTAAACCTGAAATATATATGCACAGGAAGTACATTCATATCTGCTGCAGCAGCGTGATCACTGTGTAAAATAACAAATAACATGAGACATGAGTGCTTCTCCCTGCAGGCCTCGCTGAGTTTCATTGTGAAACATTGTGTTTCTTCTCCTCCTTTCTCTCCCTCTAATGTGTGGGTGATACAGTACTCTGATGTTTCTACATTTGCTCAAATCCCCGCCTGGGGGTGGGTGGGAACTTGTCCAAGAGAAAACTATGTAGCAACTTTCACTTTCATTCTGACACTTCAAGTAAAGACTTTTGACTTGGGCACAGGAAATACCACATTTACAATTCGCTATGTCTTCACGACACAATCCTCATTGTTGCTGGTCTAGAAGATAAATACGTCTCTTGCTGTCTCCTGCTGGGTGTCGTTGGACTTACCTTCTGGGTGCTCCAAGAGGAAAGAGAGAAAGAATAAAGTCCATCCAAGTCCAGACAGCGAAGGCATCATGACAACTGCTTCACCAGACTGACCGAATGCTTTTTTAGTGTAACACCTTAAAAACACAATCAAACATGAAGTTTATGTGTGATTTTTAACTAAGAGTTATCTCAGTATGCCTGTTTTTCGCCAGAGCAGAAAAGCTTCAGATAAGTTTGATTAGTAATGATCAAAATAGGGACTGTTGGTTGAAAAAAAGCAAGCAACCTTGATATACTCCCCCTGGACACATTATTAGAGACATCTGTTCAACTGGCCATTAATGTAAATATCTCATCAGCCAATCACATGGCAACAACTCGCATTTAAGCATGTAGACATTGTCTGAGCTTCAGACCAGGGGAGAAACCTGACTGATGTAACACTGACATGGTCGTTGGTGCCAGACAGTGTGGTTTGAGTATTTCAAAAACTGATATTTTGCTTGGATTTCCCCAAACAATGATCTCTCGGATTTATGTAGAATGGTTCGAGAAAGAGACAACGGCAGCTCTCAGGGAGAAAATGCCTCACTGATGTCAGAGATCAGAGGAGAATAGCCAGAATGTTTCGAGCTGAAGACGACAATAACTCAACGACCACGCTTTACAATCAAGGCATGAGTAATAGCATCTCTGAATGCACAACTCTCTCCCACATAAACAGGACCTCATCTGTACCCTTAATGATGAGTTTTGATACCTTAGTAAATATAAACAAAGATGTTGTTTGATGAACATTAGAATAGTTAATGTGTTTTTCAAAGTTTAGGTGCATCAGCAGAGACCACCCTCAATAATTTCTGATGCAAGCACAGTCTATAACAGAAACTGCCCGGGTCAGAAAAGAGATTCAAGCGTCACTCTTAGTAGGCTTTCAAGGATAAAGAGTTAATGTACCTATCAGCTGATGGGGATAACACACCATCAGGTAACATCATGGATGTGCAGCAGCTGTTTGATGCTATCAAATTAATATGGACCCAAAACTGCTGGCAGAAAACTGCTGAATAGAAAGGTGCACCTAATAAAGTGTCAGTTTAAAAAAATAAACATTTAATAGCAATAATTAACAACCAATCAACCAAACATGTTCCTCTGGGAAAGAGTTTTACAAAATGAACTGTCACAATAAAAAAGTCTTTTAAATAATATAAAAAAACTTTCGTCAAATGTATTAAAACAAAGCTTTTATCAAACCATCCTGACTTAAGTGCACTGACCTCTGATTTACTCTTCTCAGCTTGTTTTTTCTTTTTGCTCGCAGAAATGCGCTGACATGGAGCAGAACGTGCTTGAGCATCAGTCTGATCCATGCATGGTCCACGAATTTACTGAGAACCAGTCCATACTGCTCAGGAAATCACGCAAAACATCCTGAGCAGAACAAACACGCGCTCTGCAGTCTGTGTGAGAGCTGCTAACTTGATTCATGCTTTAAGATAGTGAAACATGGAGACTGGTGTTCTCATAAATGTATTTTTGTTGCTGCTGTTAAATTCCAAGAAAGTTCCGGACAGATAAGTCGTGCTAGTCGAGTCTTCAGGAAATTGCAGGATTCCTAAAAACTCTCTCCCCTCCAGCGGTCTGCGCTCTTGGGGTGAATACAGTCACTCACCTGCGGCTCCTCGAAGGTACAGTCTGACTGCTGGTCCAGCTGTTTGCTTCAGACTTCACTGTATTCACAACTCTGCGCACACCCCTCTCATTTCCTAAACACACTATCACACACCCTCAACATGTCAAACAGACCAAATACAGAATAAGAATAAGGAAAAAAAGCGCAACTCTCAGCTGTGCGGGCCATCGGGCATCTTTAGCCCGCTGACGTGCGTCTTGTAAGAAATAGATTTCTCCGGGTGAAATTCATTTTACACATGGAGTAATGCCGAAGGGGAGGGGGTGTCGGGGGGTGGGCAGCTGTAAAGAAGGGGCAATGGGAGGGACTGCGGGATGGTGTGACAGAGTGGAGAGAGAGACGGCGAGGAGAGGAATAAAAGGCTCTGGAGACGTCTCCAAACGTAGATGGTAACAGGAAGGAGGAGTAGAGGGAGAGAAGGAGGGAAGAGGAGGGAAAGAGGAGGACCAGGGTGGACCTCAGAAGTTTGACTGGCAGGGGAAATGTGAGGGTGATACCGGGAGGCGGGGTGGAGGGTGGTGGGGTATTTAAAAAACAAAAACCCAGACACACACAAACACACACATTAACTGGTGTGTCTTCTTATCTGAACCTCTGAAACACCTTTCTAAAGAAAACATGATAGCAAACCAGTGAAAGCCCACAGCAGCTTCTCCCCAATAAGCAGCCTGTCAGAGCTTCATCATCTATTTTATGTGTGGATGGGAGGGGCTTGTAAGATCTTGTTTTTTCTTGGCTTTCAAAGTGGAAAGAAGTGATAACAGTGAGCATACATTGTCGAGGCTGTGATTTTGCTCACCTGAAGACCATAAGAACTGCGCGCACAGAGTTTTTAGCTCCATCTTTGGTCTCCCCACTCTCACTGCTGAGCCTGCACTGTGGTGTTGAATAGGCAGTATAAAGGCTTTTTGCCTTCCGGCCAAAAATGTTACTATGGGAAAGGGAGTCTGCACCAAAGCTGTAGAGTTGTGAGCACAACAACTAAACAAGGAGATAATTCTGTTATAAATTTCAGAAAAGCCAAAGAAATCAGGCGTGATTTCATGTTGTTATGGACGTGTAGACAGTCCAAATACCAAAGTTTTGCATGAGACAAAAATCTTAAACTGTGCTTTAACAAATGGGCATATCTTCTGAAATGTGAAGCCGACATGGATGTGCCTGAAACCTAATGTCTTTCTAATGGTCAGCAGGGGAGACTCAGCTGGCTGCTTGATGAAAACACAAAACCTCAGCTCCCTCTCTCTTAAAGCTTTCCTGATGAGTCGTGGAGGAAAATCAAATATCACCTCATGATGTAGAGTTTCAAAAAACCCAAACAGATTACTGCAGATCGTGCATTTCTCTGACTTTTACAGTGTCTACATCCTTCTTTTTATATACAGCCCATTAAGTAAACCTGAAATGAATCAGGGGGCTGTACCCAATCAAAATACAAAGATTCTCATCATATCATTGTAGATGTCACAGTAACAAGACTTACAGTATTAAAAGACTCAGATTTTTTAAGAACAGACTGCACACCATGCCGACCTCTTTGTAAATCACCTTGTTGGTGCAAAAATCCTATTTTATGTCTGTCAAAGTGTTTTATCTTAGAGTCGACTAAATAAATGGGAACAAACTGTGGTTTAGTGACAGGCTGCAAGTAAATAAAGTGCAATTTTTAAACATGATCTGTGTCTCTGTACTTTAATTGCATAATAGTTCCCTTAAAGCACCAATAACGATACCAGCTGGGACCCTGACTAACTCAGACATGTTTAGTCATCCTTTTACATTTTACCTGTTTTTTTTTTTCCATCTAGGCCTTAGTGAGCAGGGATAATTGATCCACTCCCCAAATCCAAAATGCTGTGGGGTCAGTGCGACACAAGAAAGAAATTACACGCACATCTGTGTGCTGCTCTCCTGCAAATCACCTTTCAATTAAAGCAATCACAGAAACTCTGGATACATCTGCGCCATCGCTCAGTCAAAACTCTTTGGACTGGTCTTTCAGCTACATTGTTAGTTTTCATTTTTATTTCATTTTACTTATTGTTTAAAACATTTCCATTTGGGTTTTATTCATTTTAATGCCACTTTTAGTCCTTTTATTTATTACAGTACGGGGGTTTTCAGGTATTACGATAAACACCAAACACTTTTAGCCTAACAAACTGTTTGTACTGAAGCTTCCTGAGGCTTGTTGACAAATATCACTAAGCTGATATAGAATTAAAATCAAACACACTTTCTGATTATTCCAAGTTTATCTTAATTCTGTAGGCTCAAAACATTTTTTCAGGTTTTTGTCTATTTTTTCGTTTTTCTTTAAGTAAACAAAACAAATTCTTCACACCTCTTTTTGAGTTTAGTTTAATATAAAACCACAAACCTATCGTAAAGAAACATTTTCTTTGAGGAACCTGGAGTTCAAATCATTTCTTCTATCCGGACCGATAGGTTTCCTTTATCGCTCACATGAGTGTGCGAACAATTTGCTGATGTAAGAATATACAGCAGACGTGTGTGTTGTTGGGGGGGGGGGCATTAAATCACCAAATTTTCCAAAGTTTGGGTTCACATTTTTACTGAGTCAACACATTTCACCAGCAAATGACAGAGGAAGAAACACAGATGAGGGAAAAACAAAACTTTAAAATCACAAAAATTGTAAAAGCTTCCTGTCTCTGAAAAACGATTGGAGTCAAAAATCTGTGTTGTACCAAAAGTCGGTGGGAACGCAACACAAAGACGACTGAGCAAGACCCTCCACTTGCTCCTGCCTTTCTTTGGCTTAATCAAAAGAAGAGAGCCCCTCTTTCCTCTGGCTCCCCCGGGTGGTAATGTACGGGTGGTGCACGATTGCGGATCACGTGGATACATTCATGACTGAGGCAGAGGACAGTGCACATGGCTAAACACACACTGTAGCAGCAACAGACAGCAGAGATAAAGGGACGACAGAGTGTAGCAAATGCAGGAAAAAAAGAGCGCTTCCTGTCAGAATCATCACATTTTTTTCACTCTTTGTGATTTTGAGGCTCTGTGAGCGTTTCAAACAAACAGCAGGATCTGATAACCTGGATTATCTTCAGTTCTTCTCGTGACCTCCCCACCCCCCCACCCTCAAGACAGTCTGTTTGTTACTGCCTGTGTTTGGAACGCGTAATCATTGACGCTCGGCCCGGCCAGTGCTTCGTCTCACCGTGAGCACGCGGAGAAGAGAGTCCTCCTCGCTTCTCATCAACATCAAGTTCCTCTCTGCTTTTACAGCAGCCTTTCACTTCTCAGTCTCCTTTCAGAGTCTGTGGCTGGCAGTGGGGAGCTAATAACCCTTTGACCTCTGACCGCGGAGCCTAGCAGAGGTCAGAGACGTAGTCAAAATCCTTAAAGTAATCTTGCTCCCTACGGGAGAGGGCTCGGCGCTCGCGGGGCGGCGTGAGGGCGGGAGGCTCGTTGGTGAACTCCTCGTCGAAGTTGCTGACGTCTTCTTTCCCCACTATGTTGGGAACGAACGGGGGCAGGACTTTTCTCTGCAGGAGTGCCTCCCAGTCCATTACCTGAATGGGATTTAGGTTTAGGTAGCTGTCAATCAACGTTCTCGCCAAGGAAAAAAAAATATGAAAGAAAAAATGCTCACCCTGAAAAAAGGCTGCTTTTTGACCTCTTCGGCATCCTTTTCTCCAGAACCGAGACGTCTTTCGGGATTTCTTCTCAACAGCTAGAAAAAAACAAAAATGCCACTTATGAGCACAAAAAAATGTGAAGACATATCAAAACCTTCCTAAAAATCAAAAAGAAAGCGCTATATAAATGCAATCCATTATTATTATTATTATTATTATTATTATTATTATTAGAAATACACAAAAGCCCAAAATAACTTTAAGAAAGCATCGTCTGACCCGTCTCATGATGCCGATGGCCTCAGTGGTGAGGAAGCGCGGGTAGCGGACTTCATCGTTCACTATGCTGTCAAAAACCTCCTCTTCATCATCACCTGGGAAAGGAGACTGAAACAAACATTATACATTACACATCTGTAAAATATAACGTTTTATTCAACTACATTCTGTAGCATACTCATCATTAGTTACAGTGGTATTACACTGTAACTAATGACAAAATGCTGACTAAGTAATTTGATTATATGTAAATTTTTCATAGAATATTGGTACACGAGTACAATAAAAATGTTACATTTAATGGAACCTGGTCAAATGAAATTTACATGACGGGTGTAAATTAAATTAATGATTCATTATTAAGATAAATAAACATGGGGTTTATATATTTCAGCTGCTCTTTTAAGGAGCTTAGAAAGAAAAGCATCTGGACTTTTCTTTCAAAGCGGATGAGAGGTGAAACGTCTCTAAGCAACTTAAAGACGTTTCACCTCTCATCCGAGAAGCTTCTTCAGTTCTAGGGTCAAATGGTGGAGAGTCACAGATTTAAGCCCTGTGGGAGTATCCCCCCCGAGAGGGAGAAAGGACCCCCTAATGATCCTCTACCTAACCCCACGAGCCAAGGTGTGAAAATGGATGTAGGTCACAATCAGCCAAGGTTTGGGGTGAACTCACTGTAACCCCACCCTATCATGTGATTACCTGAGGTCAGAAGGCCCAGGACGAAGAACATTTTTCTAATGCATAACAATACACCTGAAGCAGCTTAGCCACCATCCTTATTTAAGTAAGACAATAACCAGACCATGTTACAGCACTAAAGAGTTTGGATGCCTAAACACCCACTGACTACCTCTGCTGCACTATGACATAAAAAGTCTTGATGCCCAATCATCCAGGTAAGTAAACCTCCAAAAGTTGATTCTGTTCAAGAGACTGAAGACCGAGACTGAGACTGAGGAAATCACGTGGATGAGTGACGAAACGTTTTTCCCACTGAAAGTGCTACTTCCCGATGAACAGAATCAACTTTTGGAGATATGATGTATAAGTCCCACATCAAGCACGAAAGAGAAAATATTCTGCTTTCAAGCCTTAAGCTAACAGCTTCATCTGCTATCAAACATTTTAAAGTGTTAGAAACAGTAAACATGCCCCTGTCATGACTTTTTATGAAACCTAAAGATGGCATCTTCAGTGTTAGTGTTTCATTTTTTGTCATTTTATTTGACATCCAGGCAGGAGATAAGAAGCTCGAAGAAAGATGGGTATTCATGACATTTACACAACCTTTTCCCCACTCCTGTCATGCTCAGTGGGAAGCTCAGAACGTAGCAAGTTATGTAACTCTGGGAATCGGGGATCATCTGATCCTCTGCGTCTGAGCTTGGGTCAGCGCTACAAGGATCATTTACCCTTTCTACCCTAACAACAATCACATGGGTGAGAGCAACGTCAGGAGAAAATGGCCTCTGTGTGAATGTGGTGACTGACTAGTTCTCACCTCTCCCACCAGCATCTCATACACGAGCACCCCGAGGCCCCACCAGTCGACTGCCCTGGTGTACGATGTGTCTGTGAGCACCTCTGGGGCCAAAAACTCAGGAGTCCCACAGAATGTGCTGGTCCTGTCTCCATAACCCATGCCTCAGAAAAGAAAGAAACAAAGGGTGACCAACATGTGAGGGTTGAGTCAGAAGGGAACAGAGGATCAGTGTGATCAGCATATGATGAACACTCACCTTCTTTACAAAGCCCAAAGTCAGCTATTTTAACATAACCCTCAGTGTCCAGCAGCAGGTTGTCCAGTTTAAGATCCCTGATGGAAGAAAAGGAATCAGATTTATGTCGACTACTTCAAAGAGAAAGGAAACGCGTTACGTGTGGAGGCGATACAAACACTCACCGATACACAATCTTGTGGTCATGAAGAAACTGAAGACCCAAGACCACACAGGCAGAGTAGAACCTGTTGTACAGACGACAGAAAGCAAGAGACGCAGAAGAAAAGTGTGAAGCAAGACTTCAGTCCCATTCCTCCAGGTGTATAAAGTCTGTGCACCGAGCCATTCATGAAAGAATGAGTCACACTAACGAGCTCGCTGAATTCAAGCTTCGGTTTGTCAAATTTCTTCCCGCCTACATATCCCACAATTAACCGTGTTATTGTAGAGTGGAAGCTTTTACGACCCACAGAAGCTCAGCCACAAAGGAGCCTACTACACAAAGTTGCAGTGCGTGAAAGTGACAGACGCTCTGTTGACTCAAAAACTGCTTCAAACTTCCCTACACATTAACATCAGCGGCAAAACTGTGTGCCGGGAGCTTCATGGCATGGTTTCCATGGCCGAGCAGCTCCTGTAGATATGTGTAGGTATACATGCATGACAAAGCAGAACTCACACAGCACGTTGCTCAGAAAAGACGTCTGCATGTATGTGCATCATGAGGTCTCCTCCTGCCGTGTACTCCATGACAAAACACACATGTTCTGGCGTCTGGAAGCATGCAAACAGGTTGACCAGGAAGGGATGGTGGGAGCCGTTGACGATCTCAAAGATCCGCTTCTCACACATCAGACTGGAGACGGACAGACAGAGGAAAGGGGGAGGGACGGGGAAGGAAGGGGGATGCACATGAGACAATCATTGTGTAATTATGAGGTGAATGAGCTCTTGTCGTGCAGCAGAGATGTGGTTAAGGTGGTAAAGCACAGCTACCTCTCCACTTCATCACGCGCGACGATGTCTCCTTTCTTCAGGGCTTTGATGGCGTACTGGCTGCCTGTTTTTTTGTACTCCGATAGCAGCACCTGAAGAGTCCAACAAAAGCTTTCGTTAATCACTTCAGAGTTTTTGTTGAGTAACTCTCTGCTAATGGAAATGAAGTGGAAAAAAGTAACAGAAGGCAGGTGTAATTCTGTAATTTTGTCTTTGTGATCCAAAAGCATATCTAATAAAGAACTCAGTACTCTCCCTCCTACCCAACCTGCCTCAGCCTGAAACCTAAAGCATTTTTCTTTTCAATAAATATGAACTTGGAGCAACCCTGCATTTATCCGGGAGGTATTTTTGCAGTAAGTGTGAGTATTTAGGGAAGTATGGTAAAATAGCCTGTATTTGTATAGCGCTTTGGTGGTGGTGGTTTATTTGGTTGATCGCAGCTCTTTATGTGTTCCTTGGGCTTCTTTCAACAGTATGAATGGACAAATTTGAGCTTTATCAGTATTTTCTGACAAGAATATCTTCGTACTCTGCAACTAAATTTGGAACGGCCTTGAACTATGTCCAGGCTGGCTGAGGAAATGCCAAAATGTTTTGTCTTACAGACACATGAAACATAAACAGATTTCACTGACAATTCTTATGGGTAGTTATTTATTTACTAGTTTATATTCTCCCCGACTCAGCTCAGATTAGCAGGTAATTTTGTTTGTGGCTCCAAACACCTGTTGCCAATAAGGAAGTTACAAAGTGCCCCCTGGTGGACAAATAATGCAAAGTCAACACTCGTAAAACGGTTAAAGGGTGCTTCCCCCCCATCTCTTCTATTATTTTTAAATGTTCATTTATCTGCTGTAATAAATGAAAACGTTCTCAGCTATTTACATCAACAGATCTTAGTTATTATAGATACAGATATATAGATGTATATAGCTAAGATCAGCTGATATACTGGTTAAGATTAGTAGATATGATCTGCCACTCACAAGTCGGTTGGATTCTGTGAAAAAGCCTAGAATTCAAAGCTCATAGGGGGTGTAATACCGAGATCTAATACCAAATGTATGATGGAAAGAAAACTGTTCAGTGTGCACGTTTCATCAATCAAACAGTTATTTCACATGCCCACTTGAATGAGGCCCACAGAGCTAAAACAGGCTAAAATGCTCCATGGAGCTGCATGGAGCTTGTGTTTACTGACAGGCTGCTAATATTAAAATACTTATTTACACAACAGATGTGTATTTGATCATTTTGAAAATGAAACACAGTACCTTCCCGAAGTGGCCCCTGCCGAGAACAGCGATCAGCTTGAAGTCCTGCAGGGAAAGAGGTCCTTTGCTGGGCCTGAGAGAGGGAATTACTATTATACAGCAAATGCAATAAATGTCTTTCATAACGTTGAACAAAATCTGTTACATACACCAGAAACTCGCTTTTTTGTTCTGCGTTTTAGCGTCTAACACAGTAAAGCATGTCTTATTCTGGGGTGACATATGCAGTAATCCATATTAATGATGACTCAGCGTTAAAATCAGGTGTTAAAAAAAAGAGGTTACGAAATATGGCCATATTGTGTGAGGGGGTGTCTTCCTGGTGTCATGCTGTGCTGGCAATATTGCAAAAGACATGCTCAGGTGTGGGTTCAAGTGTGTGTGTGTGTGTGTGTGTGTGTGTGTGTGTGTGTGTGAGACAGAGAGAGATAAGGATCTTTGTCTATTTCTGCACCTGCTTAAAGAGTTGTGGGATTGTGATCTGATTGGCGTCTCCTGAACAGGGACTTCTGGTTTGGACGGAGGCTCAATGACCGGCGTCTGTTCCTGTGATAACAGGGGAGGGGAAATGTGAAACACCAGCATACTGAATGACAAGAGACACAGGGGGGAGATAATACCAATAAGGGAATACAGCAAAAAGAGGGCAAAATGATGGAGAACATCTGTAGAAGCAGACAATCAGTCAGTGATGCTCATCGAGCCGGATGGTCAGATCCCCCTGTTGGCCGACAGCCTCGCTCCTCCCCTCTCCCCTGTCCTCCTCGCTCCCCTCTCACTGCTAATTAGTTGTCTAAAAAACATCAGAGTAATTAATCTCATAATACTTCAACCCCGCTGAACACACCATCTGCCACGGGCCCCTCTGGCTCTCTCTCTGCTTGTCTAAATCTGTCTGTCTTCCTCCCTGGCCTCTGATATTTAAAGTCACACTAGCTCTGCTGGTATACAGTGTACTGACAAGCCATGTTGCATAAAGTGTATAATTTGGATTATTACATTTAGAATGCAAGGAATGAAATCACCAAATTAAAGCTTATATTTGAAAAGATGATATTTTGTCTCCTTGTTTAGTTCCTGTAATAATGTAATATTATTTAAATGGATCATGGTGCTTTATAATGTAAAGTAAAGACCCTACAATAAGACAGAGAAAACTCAGACGACACCCTATGAGCAACCACTTGGCGACAGTGGGAAGGAAAAATCCCTTTTAACAGGAAGAACAGGAAGGGTGTTCCCATGATGCATTGAGTATTTCTTCTTCAGTCACCTTTCTCACTCACTATGTGTTAATAGACCTCTCTGCACTGAATCATACTTCTTATTAATCTCTGTCTCTCTTCCACAGCATGTCTTTATCCTGTTTTCCTTCTCTCACCCCAACCGTTCCCAGCAGACGGCCCCTCCCCTCCGTGATCCTGGTTCTGCCGGAGGTTTCTTCTTTTCCTTCCCACTGTCACCAAAGTGTTTGCTCATAGGGGGCCATATGATTGTTGGGTTTTTCTCTCTATGTATTATTGTAGGGTCTAGCCTACAAGATAAAGCGCCTCAGGATGACTGATGTTGTAATTTAGCGCTGTATAAATTAAATTAAATTTCTTTCACATGCTAAAATAACAGAAAAAGGTCTGGTAGCTCGTTGCCCAGACAGTCTTGTATTTTTAATAATGTCCCTTTTTTCTACAGTAGAACATTTCTACAGTAGATACAGCAGATACTGGAAAAAGAGGAAAGTTTTTGTCATTTAATTTTTAATCTACTCCTTATTTACTTTGGTATTTCATGAATGGTCGTGGAGGAGATCTTAATCAGTAGAAAAAGCTGCAAACTATAAATATATAGTTAAAAGTTCAAAATCTATGCACTCCTTTACTTTTTCCAAATCTTTCCAGAGGGCCGGATTAGAATCTTTGCTGGTCCAATTCTGTCCCCCGGGCCTTATGTTTGACATTAGCCTATTCACTTATGTGATGCAATTTTAAATAAATTAAATGATTTAATGTCTCTGGATTTAAACCAGAATAAACTGTGTATTTTTGATAATCGTCATATTCTTTAAAGCAGTTCCTGAAAATTCTTTTCCTTGTATTCTTACTGAACTGCATTGTTTTTAATAATAACTGTTTCCCTTTCACAAGTAAGTGAAAAAGAAATAAGTTTAATTTTCAAGCTCAGTTGGTTCTTTGCTTCGCTGTCACAGCTCCTCTATTTTCCACCTCTCTATTCTTCACTCCCACACTATCACCCTCTGCAGACTGTGTTCTTCACACTGGGAAAATCACACAGATTTGGACTTGATCAAATTAAAGCTCCCCTCCATCCAATTATGTCTCATTAAAGCTGTCTCCCTGAGATTTCAGTTCTCCATTTGGCTAATTATTCATTCTTTCTGTTTCTGTCTCCGCTCAGGCCCCGGCTAGGCCGGTCTTAGATTTCACTGCAGCCCACAGGAAGGCAGCCTGTATGACAGGGAGCACTGTTTTCAAGACAGAGGCTGCAGGTAGGAAAACAGGAAAATGGTAACGTGATAGTATAAAGATGCCCATCTTTTCCCCCAAGAGAATCTCTGCATCTCACTCACCACGGGAGCAGGTGAGTCCACTACATCTGTCTTGACTTCAGGTTTTACCAGATGGTCAGTTTCCAGGTTTAGCTTCTCCACTGAGATTTCCCTGCAGAGTGCACAAAATAAAGAAAAAAGAAATCAAACTTTGTGGAGGCACAAATAAAAGCATTACCGTATTTTCTGCACTATAACCGCACTTAAAATTCTTTAACTTTCACAAAAGTCGACAGTGTGCCTTATGTATGAATCCTGGTTGCGTTTACTGACGTCGGGCCGATTTTATGTGGTACATGGCGCTCAAAAATCTGTCAAAAAATGTTTTAGCAGGACTTTGGTAAGCTATGAAGCTGCACCGCTTGATGGATTGTCGGAGCATTACGGCTACCGTAGTCAGGAGCCTCGCGGAGTAATCTGGGTCCAAAACTCCATCCGTTTCAGGTCCCAAAGTCAAACGAACACTGCGGCATCACTGAGAGTTAAAAACTGTCTAAATTCTTTCATCTTTAATAAAATCATCAGCGTTGCTGCTTTACCAGGTGTAACAATTAAGTTTAACATCCAAGCAGCCATGAAAACAGATGGATGCTAACTTTTTTCCACTCAATGAAAGCTCATGTGAGGTTTCCTGATGGTTAGGGACAAATGCAATCGCATAGCAGGATGCTGTAAACGGACCAAACTTCAGTCAGGAGAACAACTGAGATAATCCATCCACAATACGAGGTTAGTCATTAATATACTGCAACAACATGGGAATAGAGCAGCTGCCAGAGAATTCAACATTAATGAGTCAATGGTACAGAAGTGGAGGAAGCAAGAAGAAGAGTTGAGTAAAGTTTGACTTATCTGACTGTTTTGTTTTGCTTAATGCGCCTTATAATCCGGTGTGCCTTATGTATGAAAACAGACCCGTTCATCGACAGTGCGCCTTATAATCCGAAAAATACGGTATTTACTTTCTGGTAAAAAATAAAAATGAATACACCGCCAACAATAAACTCAACTTCAAGAATACCCGCTCAGGTGTAACTCACGCTGTCTAAATGATGCAATAATAACAATAATAATAATGACAATATAAAAATATAAACAATGGCAGACATTAAAAAGTTCTTTAAAGCTACATAAGATCCACCACCCATTAGCAACTGATCCAAAGTGGTCAGATATTGATTCCTTTAATCAGCTCTACACTGATCAATGACCACGACTTAAAATAAACATATCCTAAATTAATAACTGAAATGCATTAAGGCATACCATATGCATTTCAGTCCACCTGCAGACACATTAGTTACATACCCTGCACTGGTTGTGAGCGGGCTGCTTGTGAAACTGGGCGCGCTGCTTCCGCTCGGGATGACGTTCCTCAGCAGGCGGACCCAGGTAGCGATGTCCACGTTCATCTGACGGGCCCGCAGGAAAGCTTTACCTAAACGTACACATTGCCAAATGTGAAAAAGAAACTCTTCAGCTTCAGCTCAGTTGTCAAATGACGTGACTCTATTGCATGTGACTTTTTCATGTGAGTTTTTTTTTCTTAATTTTTTACTGCTTTTAACTTGTACTTTCTGCTGTGATAAAAAAAAAAGATCCCACGTGTGGGACTAAAAGAGGTTTATCTTATCTTTAGAATGTGCGTCTCGTAAATTAAACAGATGATATTATTTCAACTCCTGTGGTTTTATAAAGAAAACTTCACATGCAGCAGGCTTGAAGCGAGTAAAATAATATCTTAATTTAGAATAACTGATGTATGTATCATTCAGCAATTCAGTTTATTTATACAGCACCAAATCACAACAACAACCACCTGAAGGTGCTTTGTAGTGTAAAGTAAAGACCCAACAATGATAAAGAGAAAACCTCAAGAAAGCCCAAACGAAGGAAAACTCGCATTCCTTTTCCTTTTAACCCAACAACATCTGAATGTGTGAATGTGCAACCCGCTCAGACCTAACAACATGCAGTAATGATCACTTTCAACATGGCACAAGTGAGAAAGTCACTCAGAGTCACTGAGGGGAAATTACAGTTGTGCACTTGTCTCTCCGACATGCTGAGTTGTCAGCTTAGCTAACAATAACTTTTTAAACAGGGGAAAAACCTGCCATGTGACACACTCACTTTAAGCCTCCGACTAATCTGACAACATGCTCAAAGTTTTCCTCTTTGTGTTCAAAAAGGCTTTTGAACTAAAAAAAAAAATTCAGAGAGAGCAAAACAGACAGTTTAAAGTTTTTGTTGGAGGTACATACAGACCTCTCCAAAACCTCCTCTCATGCTCATGTCAAATTTTGAAGCATAAAATCTTCACCACTGCTCACCAGTGCTGGCAATAATCCCAGTTAACACTAATAGGAGCTGCTTCAGGAAGCTTTTTGTTGTGCATTTGTTACAATTCTGCAGCATCAGATGACAGAAACCTCTCATTATCTTCTCCAGAGTGAAAGGGCTGCACACATTTGCATGCAACGCAGAAAAACATTATTAATTACCAAAAATTAATTATCCCCGACTTGCTGACAATGTCTAACAGCAAATGACACCAAGATCTTTACTTCACAAAGATGATCTCTATAAGCTTTTTTATTTTGCCAAGACAGTTATGGATGTATCCCTATAACCTCTCTAATTATTAAGGCAGCTACCAAAAAACAGCTGCAGTTAAGAAAACTCTGACCTCGTGCATTATGCATCACTTGGTGTACTTTCCATCAGTGTGTTCTGAGTACGTCTGAATGAAGCCGTGAGGAGCAATCATGCAAAGAGGATCCATGTCTGAATGACAGATCGCAGTCACAGACCGATAAAGCCAGCGGTGGTGACTTAACACACACACGCTTCTCATTCTTTTGTTCACTGGTGGATTCAAGTCTCTTTTTCCACAAGTAGATGGCGCTGCAGAGCACGTACACGTTGTTTTACACAGCTCTAAAAATTGATCCGCTTGTCAAAAAAAATGTGAAACAAGAAAAGCAGCGAGCTGAGAAAAAGATTTTAAAGTCCAAACGTGGATATAAAAAGGTTGTGTGTGAACACTGGAGCATACCGTGCTGCTTAGAAAAGACTTTCTTCTGCCTCTGGAGTCTTCGGCCTCTCTCTATGACTGGATTGAAGAAGGTCACCTGAAACATGCACAGTTACTGTAACGTAGAGTTGTAGGTACTTTTGTGTTTTAGTGTTTGCAGGCAAATATGAATGATGAGGAGGTTCTGATGAGACTAAAAGGAAGCTGTAATGTTCACGCATGTGTCTGCCCAGTACCTCAGCCAGCAGCAGCCCCTGTGGCTCCAGTTCCAGCTGGACTTGGTGTCTTTGGTTGTCCAGGAAATCCTCCAGCTTCAGGTACTTCAGAGCACACAGGGAGCGATAATCTCTCCAGTACACAGCGATCTCCATCTCCCTGGACTAATCACAAAACACGAACATTCGATTGCTTCGATACATTAAAAAAAAACAAGTCTGCAGTTCTGCTTCAGGGAAACCGTGAGAAACAGGATCTAAGCTCATGCTTGGTTATCGCTATAGGAACGACATTTGCAGCTCAGTGACAGTGTAAACATTTAACAGGCAGTTTCTTCATCGTGGTTGTGCACTGAGAATTTGCTCCCCAGATTCAGGCTGTCAATGCAGAACAACACAATCTTCTTCACTATCTTCCTAACGCCCCTCTGCTCGCCAGATTTGCCTTTCTGTGACTTGGACAACTCCCTCCTCCCCACCAGAATGTAAATCTGGTTGAATGATCATAATTTTGACACACTGGAGGAGATCCAGTGGGCGTCACAGAGGCACAAGGACGAAGAGGGCAAGACTTCCAGGGAGAGATTTATATATAGCAGCTGTGCTGGAAATCGTCCAGTAGTGCGCTAGAACAGCGGTCCTCAACCTTTTTTGCACCACGGACCGGTTTATGCCCGACAATATTTTCACGGACCGGCCTTTAAGGTGTCGCGGATAAATACAACAAAATAAAACTAGTACCGGTACCGAAAAAAAGAAGATTTATTCATAACACACGTGAAAAGACCCAGGAAAACCAAGTAAACGATAAAAACAATAACAAAATAACGCTGAAAACCGATAAAAACCCTGAAAACCATACATTTCACACCTGAGCCTCAACTCTTTGCGGCCCGGTACCAAACGACTCACGGACCGGTACCGGTCCGAGGCCCGGGGGTTGGGGACCGCTGCGCTAGAAGATGATACTGAAGGGGAAATGTGTGAATTTAAACCAAGTAAGGAATTGGAAACAAGTCCAAGTGAAAAGAAACAAAACAAAATCTCTGCTCTACTTTAAAATGAAGGTATTTTTCTGGGTAACAACCCATCAAATGCACTGTAGCTAATGTAAAAGCCCATGAAAAGCACTGCTTGACAGCTTAGGCCAGAACCACAGTATTTCTGTGACAGTGTAACAGATTGAGAGTGTGCTTTGTCGTACTCTTTCCAGCTCTAAAGTGAAGGTTTGGTCCCAGGCCTGCTCTCCAACTGTTCTCCAAGCTGTCTGACCCACCACTGTGTTCTCCAGCTTCAGCACGGCGCTCACTTCCGCTGTTAAAGATACACAAACACTAAGTAAAAATCTCGACTGCCAACCGGGCTGCATTTTATTAAATTATAAGCCTCAAGTGTCAATTTGTTTTAGTTACTACAGTCATCTAGAGCTTAATTCAATGGGAAAAAAAAACCAGGAACACTTACACGAGAGGTCCTCGTTCTTACTGGGGATCTTGAGGCTCATGCTGCTGGTGCTCCGGCTGTAGAGGCCGCTCAGTTTGAATGAGGAGCGTCCATCTGGTGTGGAGTAAGAAGGCAGAACGACAGGGGTCCCTCTATTTCTCCCTGGGACGACCTCCAGCAGTCCCACACAGCCCAGAAGACGAACCTGAAGACTGCCTGGAAAGAAAAGGCAAAGAGGAATTAACCTTACGTTTTTGAATAATAAACTCTGACTGAATATGCTGAAAGCTGTTTTATTCTCCTATTTATTCTGTCTACCTGTAAGGGGTGATGGTTTGATCAGGGTGCTGTACTGGTTATGGACATATGGGGTGCTGTGACGGGAGCTGAAAGCTGAGGAGGAGGCCAGCACTAGCTCCTCTTTGATGAGGCAGGCTTTGGGATGATCCTCAGGCAGCTCCAGCAGTCTTTGTTCCAGAGAGCATCGGAGCAGGTCCAGACGCTGGGACGAGCCGCTCAAACCACACTGAGCCTGCGGAGCGCAGAAAGAATACAAAGCTGTGAGACTGGAGACAGATTTCAGATTCTTTTTAACATACTGTCCTGTGCTAACGTCTTTCTTGTAAATGGTGAAAGTCTTGTCCTTAAAAAACAGGAAAAATCCAGCAAAGAGCTGAACCAGGACCTGAGAGATTAACAGGTCTGTGGGTCAAACAGGCTTTCGGCTGAACCGTCAACTGTTCACTGAAGCCTCATAAGAAATGGTTTCACTGGATGCTTCAATAAACTGCTGCATCCATTTCCTATTTTTCTTGCAAAATGAGGAGGCTAAACTGACATTATTTAGCAATGCTTAATGGAAAAAAAAGTCAGAATTAGAAAATGTAACCAAATCTCTTTGAAATGACTACTCTGGATTATGTGGATGTGTCTGCACCAATAAAAGTACAGGTTTTTGCTTCTGCCTTTTCCAAAGAAACACTGAGACTTTAAGGATTGGCTCAGTATTTAGGAACAAATGTTATGACTCTTTCACTTTCTTTCAGAGAGATACGTGACTGATATCACCACAAAGGTACAGCTAGTAATTGGTTAGCATTGTTGGACTAACATCTGAGACTGGTAATTGTGAGAAGCAGCTAGCTGGATCTGTTTAACGGTAACAACATACAGCACAGAACTCAGCATTTTCTATTACATCTACCCAAAGGAGAGACGCAAATGAAACTTTTTAGGGTTTAAAACAGATGTTACTGCCAGGACTATAGATCTCTGACCCAGATAAAGTTCAACCATCTCCTCTCTGACCTCAGCAATGGCCTTCTTATCTTGGACCTTTCCCGCACCCAGCAGTCGCATCATGTTCTTGGCTCCCTCAGCCATGGCGTGCTCCACACGGTAGTGATGCCACAGCTCCTCCACACGCAGCTCCGCCCCACACAGGTCCGGCTTACCTGGGACAAGGTGTGAACAGCACACAACATGAACAAAGGGCGAAAATGACTAAATATGACATAGAAACAGAAAGTGTAACGAGGCTTTTTTCCAACGATGCACTGGACCCTTTGTTTCCATTTGCTCATAAATATAACCTTAAACACTGTGAGAGTTCCACACAAACCAAAATTTGCAGGAGAAATCTAATTAAAGACATAAAACAAACAAAAGATGTTTTACACTTGGTCACCCCAGGCTTAAACCTCTGTGGTGGGGTTTTAAAGAACAGGCTGTTGATCCTCATCAAGCTGGAGACGGTTACAGAAGCATATCTCACGAATTTGATCCTCACCAGTCAGATGTAAGAATGTGTGTAAGAATGAAGGCCACTTAAAGAGCACTGTAACTTTCCACAATCTGCAAACTGGTCAGTTAGCAATGATTAGCCAGGAGTGTTAAGGCCTGGGTAGCTTCCAGGAGGATAAAAGACATCTGTCACGTTTATGAGGCCACCACCAGGAATCATCACCATCACTGAACACGAACAGCGTGCATTGCAGGTCTGCAAGCACAAAGCACTACTCTCATTAAGGAACCATGCTAGCTTGCTTGAATGAAGGCTAAATGATCTTTAGATCATTTAGATGAAGGCTGTTTAAACAATTTTGTGTGGATGAATGAGAGCAAAATGGATTTCTCAGCAACAATCTCTAAACACACAAGTTGCTCTACTAAAGTTTGCTTAAAGTCCTGACCTTAATCCCACAAAACTACTGTGGAAATATCTGAGGTGAAAGGCTCATGAGATTGCAGATACCCCCCACAGACACGTAACATTTGATAATTTTGTCTCATGTGTCACAGCGGTACAGAAAGTTTTTCCAAGAGAAAAGTTCTGTAGTATCGTCGTACTCATTTGACATTGTGTTTTTGTCTGCCTCATTTAAAGCCTCTTTTATCTCTGGTTGAGGTCGCTGCCGACTTGTGGAGAAACATCTGACTCATTTCTGGCGCCAGTAAACGCTCCACCGTGTCAGCTAGCTCGTCTGACACGCTGGGTACATTGTGCGCAGGTCCTTGTGAGTGAGCGTGTAAAATAAACATTAAAGCTTAAATGCAAAGACTTCCACGGAGCTGAGAGGAACTGGAAAGTTGGGTAATACCCTCAAGAGTGACTGCATTTATGCACCAACAGTCATGTGATCCGCGTTAACATAAAAATGGCAAACTTGGCAGTTTTAAAAAAAGCTGAAGAAGCGACACGCTGGAAGAAAAGTGGCACAGACCAAAACAAAAAACATCTTCCCAATCGAAGTGTGTGTCTTTGTGTCAGCGGGCTTGGTGTCCTATCTAGTGTCGCTGCTGATCTGAGCTTTGTTTTATCCTGCCTGCTTATTCTCTTTCATCTCTCACTCCTTCCTTCCCAGCGCTTCGCTCTGTTGTCATCTCTGACTCAGTCCTTTCAGGCTCACTCCCTTCCTGGCTCCCCGCATCTGCCCGGCCTGCTCTCTAACCTCTGTTAAATGAGCCATGGCTTTTAGTTGTTGGGCAACATCAAGGGGATGCAGGAACATCAATAAGACTCTAACCTGAGAGAGTGAGGGGGCTGTAATGGACACTGCGCTTGTGTGTGTGCGCGTATGAGTGTGTGTTTTTGACTGGAAGACTATACGCTGTGAAGTTCTGAACCAAGAATTGATCCGCCCGCATCATAAAATATGCAGTGTTTATAAGCTGAAAGACTGACAGGTGGAGTAAAGGAGGAACTGAAAGATGAGACAAAAGCACGATAGGTACTTTGGTTGTCCTCAGACTGCTCCGTTGCCTGCATGGCCTTTCGGATCTGCATGCGGATGATGTCGATCTTTGTCTTGCTGTCCTGCAGCATCTGCTGAGCTGTCTGGAGAAGCTTCTTGTCCTGAAAAGTAACAAGAGATCATGTCACAGGTTGAACACCGGAAGGTGCAGGTGACAGTAAACATAGTGAGTAAGACTTTTTGCTGGTGGTTGTGCTAGTTCAGTTACCTTGGTACCGCCACTGGAATATATTGGAATCATGTTCTCTGCTCCCTGTTTGACTTTCAGCTCAATGTTCAGCTGCCGCTCCAAAGCAGCTATGCGGTGCTGATTGGTGGACGTCTGGTTGACGGGTCCTGGAGACTTATTTGAATCTGGTAACAGAAAGAGAGTCGGGTCAGGAGGTCAGGTTGCTTCTGATGCAGTCTTTCAAACATCACTTTTGTCAAATGGTCGGACATGAAGCTAAAAACTGTGTGTAGGTTTTCTTTTGGTTGTTTGTTTTTTACTTGTTTTACTCCATAAAAGGCCAACATACAAGACATTTATATGTTTTTACATATTTCCTGCCTAAGGAGGCATCAGGTTTCAGTTACAAGTGAGTAAAGTTTATATATAAAGACACTTTCAGATCAGTATTTTCCATCCATCCATCTTCTTCCGCTTATCCGGGGCCGGGTCGTGGGGACAGCAGCCTAAGCAGACAGGCCCAGACCGTCCTCTCCCGGTCTACTCCTCTAGCTTGTCCGGGGATAACACCAAGGTGTTCCCAGGCCAGCAGAGAGATATAATCCCTCCAGCGTGTCCTGGGTCTCCCCCGGGGCCTCCTCCAGGTGGGACATACACCTCACCCAGGAGGCGCCCAGTAGGCATCCTTGTCAGATGCCCAAACCGCCTTTCCTGGCTCCTTCCAATCGGTGTTTTATGAAGCATAAATCTAGTAGCAGGAATCAGCTAAAGCTAACAGATTTTTTTTTAATTCCTGACTTTTTTTTAGGAAAAAAACCCTAAAGCTGAGTAATGCACCTTATAGCTGAAACGGTGCATTACTCAGGCTTATGTTATCATCACATCATAACTACAGTTCTGGAGATCGATTAAGGTGTTGTTCATTTCTTAGTTTAGTTTCACAACTGTTTTATAATCGTTAGGCACCATGTGGAAATATGAGTATGGAAAGGTGCTGATTTGGTAAAACAGGAATGGAACCCCTGGTGCCAAACAATTTACCTGCTAAACATTAGCACTGATACTATGAGCATGTTGGTATGTTAAAGCATTTAACTCAAAGCTCCAGCGTGCCTTATTAACATCTCAGTGTTATCTAAAAGGAGGAAACACAAAAAGGCCTCCAGCAGCACAGGCAACATGTGATGTATGCTCCAAATCAGATACAGTAAAGCACTGTACCTTTGTTTTCTTCATGGCCTTTGACCACAATGTGAGCATCCAGCTCTTGGAGCTGAGCCTGGAGTGACTCAAGCTTCCGCTTGGAGCTGCGGAGCTGTGAGTCCACCTGCTGGGCATTCCTCTTGTCGGTAGTGGCCCTGCGCAGATTCTCTGCACCCTCCTTGATCTTCAGCTCCTTGCGGATCTCTCTGCGGATCTTCTCGCGGTGCTCATCCAGCCGCTGCTGCACACTGGAGTCTGAAAAGTCTGAGTTTTGGTCCAGACCGAGCTGCTGGAGCACTGACAGCCTGTCTGTGTCACTCTGAAAAAGGGAAAAAAAAGGAGATGGTTGTTATTGTTAAAGAGCCTAAAGAGAAGGGAAAGGTGATTTCCCACAAGAACATGAAAAAAAGGTTCTATATTTAGGTTGCTGTTTATGAGAAGGATTATTCAGTTTGACCTAAGAAACTGATTTGCAGGGTGACGGAGCAAAGCTGAGGTTATGACAGTACAAGCTGGAAACAGTCACCATGCACATATTTGACAAAATGAAGCACTGCAGGATAAAAGGAGAGAAAAACTGTAGGTCTGTGAGAGAATCGTGAACATTTGAGACCTGCCAAGCTGACGTGGTGAAGCAGCATCAAAGCAGAGGCAGCACTTAAGTGTGTAAAGAGCTGAGTGCTCACATCAGCTCTCCTGCTGATCAACACTAACCAGATTACAGAAGATTAGAACAGCAACAATGCAAACTAAAATCAATCAGGGTCTCCTTCTGGACGGGTCACTAGTAAGCAAACATAATAGTAAGCATACATGAGATGCAATATTTAGTAGAGGAAAAAACAGAATATCACCAGATGCACAAGAGTTTAATTTGAGCTTATTTCCAGCATCATTTTTTTTTCTTGGTCGCTAATAAAACAGTTTTACATGATTAACAGTAAATAATCATCCTTATTTTTCTTATACTGGACCTTGGTGCAGCCCAGCAGTTAATCCTATGTCAGAAACAAGCTGTTTTAGCACTTTTTTCTGCAAGCCAACTTTCTGTGTGTCTCAAACAGAAAGTCTGAACAAAAGGTGGACGGACTGTGTTGATCAGAAGAGAATACAATAAGATGTAAAAGAACGGAGGAAGACGTTACATCAGGGGTGTCCAACTCCAGGCCTCAAGGGCTGGTGTCCTGCAGGTTTTAGATGTCACCCTGGGTCAACACACCTGAATCAAATGATTAGTTCATTACCAGGCCTCTGCAGAACTTCAAGACATGTTGAAGAGGTAGTTTAGCCATTTAAATCCGCTGTGTTGGATCAAGGACACATCTAAAACCTGCAGGACACCGGCACTTGAGGACTGGAGTTGGACCCTCCTGTGTTACACGTTACATTAGCAGCTAATGCTAACAAGCTTGGTTACCAAACTGCATCCATAGATTATGTGTGAGCAATACACAATCAGATACCTGCTAAAATTAGCTAGGAATAGTACAAAGTAACAGTTTTACTCACAAAATCAAACTAAAAACTTCTTGAATGGACTGTACAATTAACCACACAGGAATTTAGACTGACGTTTTGCAGATATGTGATTGCTAGCCATCTGACATTAACTCTTCTGCCATTCTGGATGTTTGACAACCATGACGGCAATGTAGGGTCACGTGATTAAGACCTAGAGACCAGTCAGTAACCATTTGGCAACCAGTCGTAAGGGAAAAATGAATATTCCGACAACCAGTTGCTGAGTGTTTGCAGGACCTTGATGGGAAATCCTTTGCTAAAGCCTCAGGAAAACAGATATAGTGAGCAGTCAGTGACCTCCTGACAACCACTGGTAACTAGGGAAAACTGTGTATCTCCAACCAGCTGTGATTGCTTTGATCGGTAGCAGACTGCTGTGGTCACCCACAGTTTGAACACACTAACTATTGTACAAACACTTACCAGCTATTCTCCAAGCAGTAGTGAAACTGTGAAAAGTGTGACACAAAACGGAAACGGAAAATGTTTGCTGGCACAGTAAAAGATGCACCTTCCAGTACTGGCTGCACAATTGTTACTTAGAAGACAAATATCCTCCATTTCTGGTTTGTGTCACAGTTTCTCAAGTAACTGTGTTTCTCTCAGTTTCTCTCAGCAAGTATTTGCAGTCATGTTGACAACTTCTATCCAAACTGCTGGCAACCATGCCAATCTGATACTGACCAAGGCAATCATAAGGATGCTTTTGGTGGAGGACCCTCTTTGTGACCAATTTCATCTAGTGATAACTAGCAGCCTCAAGGACACATTCGCCAATCAGTTAAGAAATACGTATTTTTACCTCAAAATATCATGTACAGTATGGTAAGCAACTCGTGTGCATGATGTCACGTGAGAAATCTCTAATATTTTTAACATAATTTTATTAAAGGTGTTCTAAAAGGCAACAACAGCTATGGGTGACACTGAGTTTTACTAAAAAAACCCTGCAGACAGACAGGCACACAGCCCTAACCCTAGCTAGCAGCTGAACACATAGCTGTAGTAGATGTTCACAGCACAGAACAACACTCTATGAGGAGGTCAATAAAGCTAAAGCTTAAGTTGTTTAAAACAACTTTTAAACAACCCAGAAATATTAAACAGTTATCATAAACGTTTACCTGGCTGCCACAAATGTTCTCATTAGCTTTTTAACTCTTAGCAAATACCCGGTACCACGTTAGCCGCTAAGTTACGATTAACCTAGTGGCTAGTGGCTATGGCTAAAATGAAAAGCTAGCTAAGAGCTAGGCAACAAATATTATCAGGCCTGCACATCTGTAATGTTAACAGACAGCCTTAATTTAACAAGGTGGCTGTAATGTATGAGTTACCAATAATAATAATAATTTGCAGCTAACTGGCTATACAGATTTAAAAGAATTTCTAGCAGGCATTTCTATTTCTTCCACCAAAGTAAACCTATAAAAATGCTTATTTCATTACTGAAGTTGGACATTTTAACATGGGAGCTTAACATAGGCATTGTTCATTTAAAAAACATATATGCTTGACAGAAAATAAGGGAAAGCATAATTAACCTGCTCTTTTAAATTATGTGCATGGATTAATTTAAAAGTTGTTGACAACAGCTGTATCAGTTGTTACAGGCTACACCTTCATCAACGCATCGTGTAACTTGTCTCCCAGTAAAGCTGACCGTCAAACGCCAGTAGATAGCCAACATGTGAAATGGCCACAAGAAGAAAAAGAAAGCAGGCAGTTCACAGTTGCTGTATTTTGCCTGTTTTCTTATAGAAAGAAAAGACCAGATAAAGCAAAAATGAACTAATGATATTGCGCACTAAAACCAGCTTCACGTGCAATGACCACAAGGCCAAATGCAAATAAAAAATGTTGATAAAGAAACAAGCTACGCTAGAGGTTACCAGTTTGGGAAAGGCCTCACTGAGGATTGGCGGCTCCAAAGAAGAGTTTGACCTCTGCCTTTAAACTGATTTAAGCCGGTTGATTTCGCTCATATTTCGAACTCAGTATGATGATGATGAACAGGCGACTGGAAGTTAACTGGAGACAGCAGGCGAGAGTCATTTGATGGGGAAGAACTTCTATGTGTACCAACGGCTAAGCATGGAAGGTAGACAGAAGGAACCTGTGAATCCGTGGAGCTAAACCTTTATGGCAGCAGATGGGAATGGGCACTGATGCATCCACAGTAGACTTTAAAAATAGGAGAAGTTGGCTGGAAAAAAGTTCAGAGATACTAACTGAACCCTCTTCTGCCAACATGAAGAAAGCGGAAAGTATTTAAAGGCATACAACAGGAAGTGAAGCGTTTTGTGGTGTGGCTCTGCTCCTGAACGTCAGATAATCTCCAGCAAACTCAAACTACAGGAAACGTCTTTGGCAATTTGGTCAAATTTGTCAATGCAACCATCATGAGGAGACATGGGAGATGTGTCAGTTGTGTTTGGCACATCTTTTATCTTACCCTTTATAGATGCAGCCCATAAAACCAAATAAAACCTGATGACACTAAAAATGAAACAAAACATTTTTAAACAGCAAAACCGAGATCAAACTAAGTGAATTCTTTAAAAACTGTTGTAACATCTGAGGGCTCTCAGCTCCACTGTGCTGGAGTTAAAAGACGAGCTGCTCAGGGCCTTTCCCTGCACTGTGCAGCCAGCTATCCAGCTTAGCGGATCTGATTACAGCCGCTTAGGTCTCCGTGTCCATCCAGCCACACACAGGCTACGGCTACAGCACTGTTCTCATTAGGCCATAATCCATCGGCAACACAATGCACGACAACCAAACCACATGGCACAGGCCGAGGGCTTGTGGGATTTTAACTGCAGATTTAATGCAATGTTACGTCACTGCACAGCTCTGAAGCAATCAAACTGAGCGTGTCTCACTTGTTGAAAAAGGTCAACTATGTTATCTTGCTTGGTCTAGAAGAACAACAGACGCACTATTTTTATACATGTATACAGAAGTAGGCATGTACGATGGATGCATACTGCTGTATATTATTAACATCGCTGATGATGTGGCAGACCTGAACAGCATGAGCGCGCCAGCAGCGGCCATTCATGGCAGAAAAGAAAGCGGAGCAACCATGAACTGCAGGAAGGGAGAGTTTGCACTCTGACGTAGTCCTGCTCGACACAATACAACTTAATCCCTGGTGTTTTACAACAAAGAACCTCTGGAGTGAGGTATAAGACAAATCAGGCAGCAGGGTGAAATCACAACAGTGGACAGCAGTCAAAATTCACAAGTGATTCGCTGTGAGACAGTAGATGTTTTTACAGGAAATGAACGAGGAAACTGACAGAAAAGAGAAGGGCCACAGTAATGCAGGGAAAGAAAGCGGCGGTGTTGAGGCCTGCTCCGGCCACAGTGGCCTACCGAAGACTCTGGATCACCCTGCTCGGGGCTATCAATCAACTGATCCCGTGGCAGGTCTTCCAATGCACAGTCCTCACTGGCCATCTTTGGCCTCCCTCCGGCTTTGCTCTTGGGCCACCACACACACACACATACACACACCCAGCACTGACAGCAGCACCAATCAGACAACACAAAGTCCTACTCCTGCCTCCCCCAAATCCAGGATGTCCTTCCCGCCAGGAATCAAAAGCCAGGCTAAATCTGGAGCGAGTGAACAAGGTGGAGGAGAGGAAGAAAGAACGGCATAGACCGAGCCCCACCTCGCTGCTTCCTGTTCTGCTCTTTGCCAGATAGAGACTGAGGCGTCATGCACTCTGTACACACACACACATTTAAGTGGTTTTGTAACTGAGAGAGCTCACAGTCACTCTGCTTCCTGCTACCGAGTCCCCATAGCTGAGAGACAGGCTGTTGTGATAGAGTCTACTACCAAAGCAAGTTCTTGTGTATTTTTGGCATATTCGTGAATATGGCACTATGATACACACACAGATTTTATGCATCCAGGTCAGAATTTCTGCATAGATAATAAGACACTGTCAGAAAAAGTGTTGGATTAAGCAAATAAACCTCTAAGTGAGTAGGGATGTGTCAAAGGACAAGCTGATGGATCTGCATTCCCTGGGATAAAGGCTGAAGCAAACAAACTCTTCTCACTTGAACACTAAGCCATGGATATCAAAAACCTGTGCACGGAGATGGACTTTGCCTGCAAGTCTATTTGAAGATGGCACAAAAAATGCTGAGCAGTCACTTCCCATACACGAACAAGCAGTGATCGCACATCAGCAGCACTGACTGATCGTGGCTGTTCCTGAGAGCAATAGATGGTCTCACTGCTGCCTGACTTCTGTACTCTTCCTGCCAGCGAGAGACAAGCAGGTCATGGGTTTATCTGACTCAGATGCTCAGCAGCGCAGTGGCACTGACCTTCCAAGCCCTCACTGTGCGGCAGATAGCCGTCTCTGGCCACTGTGTATCCACCATTGCAACAACATGAGACACGAGAAGGAAACCAACAAGCACACACAGTGTGGCATTTAAAGAGGCACCAAAGCACATCCAGTTCTTCATATTCCCGCATTTTACAGCAAGGGGAATAGGAAGTGAAATAAGATGAAGTTATGCCAACCTATGCAAAGCACAGGCAGTTAGAAATGTTCTGATAACAGATATCCACACTGTGAAACATATCTGTGTGCGGGTAATAAAACATTTCCTTACCGGGCAGCTGTCACTCTCAGTGGCTGGTGTTTTGCGTGGACTGGTAGCTGCGGAGATAACAGCCCCCATGCATCCATGCTGTCTCTCACCTCTACAGATATGGCTGAGATGTCATCATTAATTCGAAGGCAATGAAAGTGAAAATTTCCAAACTGATCTCAAACTATCTTGAAGCCTGTCAACACAAAACTGTGTCTCATTGTGTCTGTGAAATCGCAGGGTGTGCAGCTGCTAAAAGTGTACTGACCACATTATCAGGAACTAAGATCATATCACTTCGCTCTTAAAGTTACAGTCAGTTCATCTGATTTGGATTCAAAATTAAAACATAAAATTACTGTCAGTCAACAGTGCCAACCCTCAGCCTCCAAGGAGATCCACATAATGTACCAGTTTGAAAATCCTTGGTGACTTCCTTCATTGGCTATTGCATTCACAGGATTTTCTTGACCTCTGACCTTAAGGTCAAAGTCACTGAGATTCAAACTTGTCTGAGATTTTTAACAGATACATATAATATGAATTTAAAAATCCTCGGTGGTGTCTTTCACAAGTTATCAAGTTAACAACATTTTCACAAAACTTGACCTCTGACCTCTGAAAACCTCTCGGAGATTTTTCGGAGATTATTATGACGACATATTGATGAAAATCTGTAAAGAACTTTCACTCTCTGTGCTGCTGTTCATTTCTAAGAGCTCTGAAACTTTAAACGGGATATATATTTAAACATTAATGTTACCATCCCATAGCCTAATAAAGGACATGTGGAAATTGTCTTACTTTGTTGGCAGATCAAAGTGAAATTTGTTTCAAGTTGCCCATATAAAATCCATTCCCCCAGCAGATAATCTATACTGCACTTAAAACATGCTGTAAACAAGAGAATCAGTGAAAACGTGGCACTTGCAGTTTTAACCAAACAAGTTAACTCATGTTCAGCATCCGTTACCATAGTGATTTCGCCAGATAAAAAGAGAGTGACAGAAAGCTCGGCATAACTTGCTAACCCATTCATCTTGCTTCGTACTACACCCCTCTGAAACCCAAGGTTTTTTTGTTCTATTGTAAAACACAATACAGCACTCCTTCAAAATCTTCTCCCCGTACAATATGTCCAGTCGGGCCGCTATTTTTAGATCGCTCTACAGAAGTCCGGCTCTGTCCCCTTGCACTTGTGCATCTGTGATGCAGACTGGATCTCCACTGTGTAAAAACAGGAAGCTTTCAACTCGATTTTTTTTAACTGTTGTTAACTTAGCATTTTAACAACTGTTTATAGCAACTATTTTAAAAAGGAAAAAACACCTCATGACAAATTTTAAGGCTTTTACTGCCTGAGCAGAAGTCTTGCTCCCATGCCACCATGTACTCACTGTTTAGAGAGTGAAAGAAGGCTGTGAACAGCAGCAGCAACCAGACTGAGAAAAATAACAATTTTATCTTGGTATTCAGCATGACCCTTGATGAGTTTGAATCGATAAACTTGATGACACAAATATCTGTATGAAAGAATAACAGTTTAACTCAGTTTTTCCTTGTTTGGCACCTTGTCCTCCATCAACGATCAACAGCTGCTTGTTATCCATAGCCTTTCTGAACAATGACAGTGTGTTCAGAGCAGGGTATTTTTCCGTGACCTGGACCCTGCCTTTCATCCAACTGTCTCTGCTGATCTTCTCACGACTGGCCTGGGGAGTCTTAGCACCCCTGGCAAATTGAAGGGCTGCCAGGGACTGGAGGCCTTAGACAGATGCTCAGACAAAAGTCTGACATCGAAAACATCATCCTGGCTTAATGAGATTAAAACACTGTATACATTTTACATTCCATCAGTGAATTGATTAGATAAGAAAATACTCCACATAGACTTTGCCATGGCGATATAATAGGACGAGATTATGCATCTGAGAGAGGAATTCCATCCATAATTAAAATACTAGTGTTTAGTCCTCCTTGATTTTATTTTAAAGTTAAGTCACTGCTAACCGGCTAGCACTGGATCTTCTAGTCTTATGTTTTTCCCACCATATCATGGCAGATTTCAATCAATCAGCTGCTCATCCAGCAAGAACAAGGACCACCGGCTACAGTTGGAATTGTTTCTAGATGAAACAAGCCTATAAGAGTCAAAGTGTGGAACAAAACAACTCCCAACTGCTATCTTCATCTCTCTCTCTCTCCAACCCCTTCTGTCTTGGCCTGTCTGTATTTTCTTTGCTTTATACCTATTGTAATAATAATAGTGTTGCTCCCTCTTTCCTACCTCTCTTAAGCTTACCGTCCATCCATCGTGCACATATCTCTGGTAACAGAGGCTGCCCGGTGACGCCGGTGGGTGACAGAAAGCTATCCCTTTGATTGAGTTTTAATGGCCTGTCAACTCATCTTAACTCATCTGGAGTTAAAAATACAGATTAGGTCCATTTTGTTGGAAGTGCAGGCGGTCAGGGAATGCTTCATTCTGTGAGCACTCATTTTATTACTTACTCGCTCACAAACACCTGCAATTCACAGGCAACAATTGTAATGAGGAGGCTTGGGAATGGACTTTCTTACCTGAATCAAGTTATGAATAATTTAATAAATGAACCCTAAGCCGCGTTTTGCATGAGGAGGCGTTTTTGTCCCTGAAAGGGGGACTTGTTGGAAGTTGAGGAAAATTCATTTTCTTTCATAAAGGTTAAAAGTGAAATGCAAGGTCATGTTGTCAATTTTATTATGTGCAGATGTGGGCCATTTCTAAAGAACGTCTGTAGTGTGATAAACCTCACCTGAGCAGAAGTGGACTAAACAGAGAATTCCAATTAATCCCTGCACTTACAAACACACACACACAAACACACTTCTGCCCAGCAGATAAAACAAGGCAATGGATACCAACAGAAAACACTGAACAAGCTCGACCACAAAGATACATTAACTCTCATTTCCAAGACTGACATCCACAAACATACAGGCCTAATGTACTGTAACTGATTGGTAATGAATAAAACAGCACTGTAAAGGACCATGTCAGTTGGATGTTGAGGGTACTAAGAGGAGGAAGTGTTGCTCTGCATGATGTTGGCACAGCAGATCAGAGGGAAGTCTGCTTTTGGGCTTCAAAGTTAACTTGAGGACACTGTTACAGTCAGCGAGACTGAGCCGACTCCTATGTGAGCCTAGTTTCACTACCGAGCAATAGAGTTAGGTATGATCTTTGATGTGACTGATCCCATTCTGTCCACCAAAAGCTACAGCAAACAGATCAATCGCTTATTTTAGCTTTTGTCTTGCATTTTGTTTTCTTGCATTGCACGGGGATAAAGTGGTAATAAATACGAGAGAACCAGAAATAATGGGGAATCTCAAGCCCCCCCCAACTTACACACTTATCCTGCATTCATCTACATTACATTCCTGGCCATTTTAAGACATTAAAGTAACAGGGTGCAAAATAGCATCATTAATTGTCAATGCATTGCAGATTGCAGACAACTGAATTATGTTTTCTTACCCATCGCAATTTAACCCTTTAAGACCTACCATAGAACCAAGTCCGCCAGAGCTTATATTATATTTTTACATGCTGTAGTGCCATTTTTGGGAGCAAGTTGCTATACATCAATACAACCATGATAGCCCAAATTTTAATAATATGTATGCATTAAGTGCATAGTAATTACATAAATTGCAAAAAAGTGCAATAAACTACAAAAAAATTGAAAATCGTTTTTGTTTTTTTAACATATATTTCTAGTTAGAGAAATTTAAGAGGCTTATCCCTTAAAACTGTAAATACAAAAAAGTTGCACAAAATAGTTTCCAACCACAGCAAATTTATTTTGAGTATCTTCATAGTTTTATTTTTGAAATACACCAATTTTTACATACTGCAGAAAAAACAAAAAACAATCCTATAATGCAAATCTGCAAAGAAAACAGCATGTGCATCAAAATAAACTATTTCCAGCAGTGCAATTTGACTTCTAAGCATCCCAGAAATGACACAGAAAGTCATAAAGTCAAACATAATTTTTAAAAAAACACCAGTATAGGCTTATAAGGCCTTGATGGTAAAAAACTACATTTCTGCGAAAATGACGTCACTTCGGAAGTGACGTCATTGACTATCGGTTGGGGAATACTCAAAACAATATTTGCGCTTTAGTAATTAGTCCATACAAGTAGATGAGTCAGTGAAGCTCACTTCTGACCGATGAAAGTGATATTGAGATGAGTTGAGGATATCCTGAACATTTCTATTAACATTTCTATTAATGCTGTCTTTGCCTCTGTTAGCCACTGTTAGATTCTGTTAGCCACTGTTAGATTCTGTTAGCTGCTGTTAGATTCTGTTAGCTGCGCTCAGTGAAACTTTCTTTGAAAATTGTTGGACATGGACATTTAGTGAATAAACCTGTCATATGATGTGAGAATGTAATCAAATTCTTTATCAGAGGGAAAGTTTGATTTTCAGGATACTCGAGCCATTGAGGGGCATAATGTTAGCTTAGAACCAGCTGTAGCTGTATTAACTAGCTTGTTATCAACTGTCTGGAGAATGGATGGTTAGGTTTTTTCTTCATCACCATCAGTTTTAAACTCTGCAATTGTGTTTGACTTACACAGCAATATGAGCATTTTTGTTGGCATTTATGACTCAATACAGCCCCAGTTTCAAAAAAGTTGGTCCACATGTAACCTATGTTTAAACAGTAAATAATATGATGATTCTCTAAAACTAATTGGCCTCTATTGTGTAGACGCTATATAAGCTCCTAGGTCATTTAGTAGGTGTCAATCTCTTCATCTTCTAGGAGGAAAATGAAAAAAAGTTCCTTTTACGTTTAACAGAGAGCATGCATAGTAATAGCTGGCTTTGCAGAGTATAACACATGGAGTTTTACCATGCAAGAAGGCTGCGGAAATTGGGAAACATACAGTCATGCTCAATTTTAAATATCAAATATTCTTCATTTAATCTGTTTTTCGGAAATGCACAAACCTTATCGCAGTGAAATACTAAATCACTGCAGTTCCGTTTTAAGACCAGGAAAACATACACCAAACAAATCACAAAATTATTTCAGCCAAATTCCCAGCTGTTATAAAATCTGTATTGGGATTTAAACTCTTGCCCTCTATGAATGAGTTAACTGCTTACAGAATGTACCTTGGACTGTGTCTGTGTGCTGCCTGTTAATCCCTAAAATCCCTTATATTCCAGGGAAATTCTCTAGCCAAATCTCCTTTTTACAAAGTCTAACACTGCCGTACGTATATGTGCTGTACTGTACTGAATTCACGTTTATGAGGGGAGAAGATTCGCCACGTCTGAGCAGACAGGAGACAAAATGTGCTCCGGTTTAGGTCACAAAAAAAGTGTCTCGTGTCCGAGTGCACATCTGCCTGCATGGCCGTGAGTTTGTGAATGTGCAGCAATGTCCGCTTCACAGCCGGGGAGGAGCTGATCGACATGCACGGCATCGTTGTGAAAGAGTCTATCTTCTCAAGAGACTTCAGTAAACACTAATGTGTTTGTGTTCCTAGCTTTGTCCATTGTGAACTCTCCTGCAACAAACAGGCGCTCTGTTCAGGCTCCTCAGGAATAAAACAGCATAAAACCCCGAATGGGAAAAGCTCCACAGTTCTCATAATTAATATGGCTCTGTCTTGCATGTAACAGAAGCTTAAGGATAAGATAGAAATAAAAATGACACAGTTGAAGGATTGTGACTATTTCCAAAAATACCATTCTTTTAAGTCCATTTTACTCCAACCTTATATTAAATTTTGTGTGCAAGGCAACATCATCTTAAACATTGCTTCTATGTAGTATATTTATATGTCATTAACATGCATGAAATAATACATCCAAAAACAGAAATTTATTGAACTTCTCAGATAAATAATAAATGACAAAAGGAGCAAGGCACATTTTTAAAAAAATACACTATTTACCGCATTTATTTGCATCAATCTTATTTCAGCTCAGTGTGAGTCATTACTGCATACTGCTGTTATTTATGGTCATGCTAGACACGCACTGAGGGAACCTCCTCTCACAAAAACACACTCACTTAAGTTTGAGTGTTTCTGATGATGACATGCTATGTTACGGTAATAACACAATAACACCTTCCTAATAAGTGCTAAACTGAACAGCAGGAGCGTGAGAAAGAGAGGAAAGCATTGTCATTGTCACTGAAGCTTTTCTGCTGCATACTGCAGAAAATCTTTTGGTATAGCCGGCTTAAAAGACCTCCAAACTGCTGACCTTTTGTTAGTTCTCCTGCTAGCTGCTGCTATAATGTGGTGAGATGAAAACAGAATAACTGAGGGAATAGAACAGGTATGCAGGCTGAATCAGCTAAAGCAGCAACCCGTACATGAGATTTGAGGTCATATATGTGACATTCATTGCTCAAGAGTTGTCTACCACATTGACACGGTAAAGCCACTGATTGCTAGGCAGAAATAAGCATTTCCAAACTGGCTTGCAGTGGTTCCTGACGGTTGATCTTGTTGCTAGCACATTTCCACATTTTCTTGTAGTTTTTCATGTTTGTCTGCTCTCTACCTATTAGCTGTGTGGCAGAAAAACGTAAGAAAGTGCAAAGCGAATAGAAAATGGAGACGTTGTAGCCAACGTGTTTAAAAGGCACAATTTTTCCTTTGAAGACAAACAGTCTCCATTTCTGGTTTGTGTTGCACTTTTCGCAGTTTTAAAACAGCTCGGACAGTATTTCAAGACCATCCCTTGCATTAAAACTACAACCGCAGCAAAATACGTTTTTGACTATCGGTTGGGGAATACTCATTTGTCTCACTTGGGTGGTGGTTGCCAGGTGGTTGCAGACCAGTCTCTAGGTCTGTATGACACACACCTAGAGAGTGGTCTGCAACCACCTGGCAACTACTAGTTGTAAAGCAACTTGTTGTTGCTGGCAACCAGTTGGGGAAGGCACTAGGAAAATTATGCCTCTGTTGCTGGGGCTATAGCAATCATTTTCATAGTGCCTTCCCCAACTGGTACAGCTAGTGGTTGCTAGGTAGTTGCAGACCAGTCTCTACGTCTGTATGATTTTGGCCTGCTTCACTTGAGCCTATGCTGCCACTATGATCGTCACATGTCCAACATGGCAGACAAGTTAGTGTCACGTGTTTAGTGGTCACATGTCTGCAAAACCTTGATAATACACACAGAAGGCTATCGGCTGAGCCATCAGCTTACATGAGATGGTATTATGCAGCTTGCTGGCTGAGCTTGACCCCTGGTGTACACGAACAAACGCTTTGCTTTTGGAGATTTGTAGTTATTTGCTTTTAGGCTAGCCTATTCAGTATGTTTTTTAAAGAGCAGCCCCTGACTGGCTGAGAGGTAAAAAAGGTCAGTGGAAATAAATGCAACAGACATAACCCACTTTTCCCTGAATGCACCACTGAGATGCACCTGCATATAAAAAAGGCAGAAAACAAAGTTGTTGACCTACAACAGTCAGCCTGCATAAGGGTGTTACTCAGAGGAGAACCCATGAGGCACTTTGCAGTCAGAACTGCTTTAACTCCATGCCTTTCTCCATATTTAAAACTGATTTCAAGTTGGGTATGGGAACGTATGGTGCATTACACTCAAAAAGACTGAAAATATATGCAATATTAAGAGCTCTCAAAATAGGAGAAAACGCAGGGGAGGTCACAAAGGAGAAAAGGCATGTGATATCAGGTATTGTAGGAAGTGAGGTAATGTGCATAAAGACAGAAGCCTGAAGGGAGAGGAGGAAATAAAAAGCTGATTCGGTCTATAGATTAAAGTCACACAGGTAGATGGTACAGCCCCATTTAGCAGGAAGTAACTTCCTGCAGATTCGATTTTAAGAAATTCAACTTAGTGCTTCTTTGTGGATGCTCCATAACTGAAATCTCACAGGAATCCCGCAGCCTAAAACATGAATGAGCTACAACTGCTGCAGGATTTGCCCCATTACTGTACTGTACTTCCTCCCCCCACCTCCCCCCCCCCCAACTTCCTGGTATAAATCCAAACTCAGATGTTGTGTAAATCATGCACGGATGTCCATGAGAGATTTCATCAGAAAATCATGTGTTTTAAATCTGAGGTTATTAAGATGTCATCCCGCAGCGTCTTCCGGCCTCTTGCTCCTGAATCTAACGGGTCAACAACAGGCTTTGTGACACATGCTTTACTCAATATGCTAACATGTCACCTACAGTGATTATCAGAGGACAAAGGGAGCGGAAAGTGACACACTGTGTAATGGAGTGGCTGAACCGGCATGATGGTAATGGACGAGGAAGATTAAAAATTATTATGGCAGAAGGGCTGAGGGGGATAAGAGGTCCATTCTATAATGCAGACGATTATCCCTCTTTACTGATGCTGTTGATTATGACAGCGAAGTGCTTGGAGCGGGAGGAAAAAACAAACATGCAGAAATGTTTGCAGATTTGTATGATCTTGGTTGCACTATAATGGCTAATGAAAACAAGACCCCATTCATCAGG